ATAATATTTAGTTTTTTAATTTTAAATAAAATTCAATAGGCATTCATAGTTCTATACAGTGTGTAAAAGTATTGTCCAATTAAAAAAAAGTGGACCTTTACATATTCTCAATTTCTAAATGTAAGTGTGTGTTTTATTGAAATATCAACCAGAGACACCAATACGTACATATGCATAAGTAAGGCCAATTACATGTTTAAACAAAAAAATTTAAATTTTTCTTCCAATAAGGTCAATTGTATACGTTCATACTAACTCTGTAAATTCTATGTTCTGAGAATTAATTTTCGTTTTCAGTAAACCTTTATAATTTTTTAGAAACTCACTTGCAAAATACAAGCTACTGCTATATCGTAAGTACATATTTCAGAAATAATCGAAATTTTATTTCAACGTGCCATAAACAACTAACTCACGTCACCTTAGTATGTATTGGAAGACCGAATTTTGTTTCAAATAAATTTTCTTGTTTGTTTAACCTAAATTTCAGTTAAATAATCTTAATTTTTAACAAAAATATTGATTAAAAAATTTACACAATAAATTCTTGTCAAAAAATTTTACTACATATCTCAGAAATTTTTAAAATATTGAAATAGTGAGGCCTTGTAACAGTGAATAAACAAATTTACATGTCACCGAAAATGTTAAAATACCTTATCATATTTTCCTATTTATTTGTAATTTATTTTTTCCTAAAAATTTCTAATACAATTATAAAATTCAAAATATTTCACTTTTTGTTAGTAGGAAGACTCTTTTTGTTAGTAAGAAGAGCTATTTGGCGCTTTAGTCTCAAATGAAATCGAAATTTTGTAATAGAATTTTAAAAATTCCTGTCTTTATCTTTTACATTTACTTATCTCAAATATTTATTTTTTGTACAAATTTTTTCTTTTCACTCATTTTTACTGTGTAACAATATACTCCTATTAAGCTATGTAAGAATATAATATAACTAATGTGACAAAAGATAGCAAACATGGATTTCAATTTTCCTTATCATATTACAAAATGTATACGCTTTCTTTGTAAAATTTACAAAAAACAAATATTTAATTTACAAAGATTATTGAATGAAAACTTAAGCATTCGAATGTTAAAAATAAAAAAAAAAAATGATAAAAAACTAAGCATAAAATCCGGAGATCAAATAACGTGTAATTTCGTATTATTTTTCGTACCTGCTAAACCTGTTAAACAAAAGTTAATCATTTGTACAGGATGTTAAGTATTACGTTTTTTGAAAATAGCATGAGAATACATATTTAAATACAAATTTAAATGTATTATTATATTTGGCTGCCTTCATATTTGAATTTTAGTTCAACATTATTTTACAATTTTGTTCCAGTTTCTAGCATACTTCACGTTTAACTATTTTCAGCGTCTAGAACTCTTGTACAAATTACAGGACTAGTTTAAGGAAATTCTGAAATTCAACTGATCGACAATATTATTTGCTTTTATTAAGTATGTATTGGCTTTGTGCATTTGGAAATCAAAATCACAGCCAGACCGTTCATACATAAAAACATCTGGGCCAATTTTCAACAATCGGTTCAATATTTCAATTACATATTTCCAATTCCAAAATTCACATCTATCCTTGATCAGTACGGAACTTTTCACTAAAAAAAATAATATAGTTAAAATTATAACAAAAAAGCTTAAAAACATATCGCAATATTTTAACAATATCTAAGTAATAATACGTAATTATTGTATACATGAAATATCCATTTACTTAGTAATGAGTAATGACAATTAATTATAGTATGTATTGAAACAGAAAAACGGATTCAAAATCAATGTTTTACGTTTTCAAAAACAACAAAAAAAAATTTCTATCACGATTTTATGTAGGTGCATAAAATTTGTTTTTATATTTTTCTTATATATATATATATATATATATACTCTTCAGTTAGCAACACCGGAAACAGACAGGTTTTACATTTTTACTTATCATCAACACAAAAATTTATATTTATAATATTGTAAGCAAGTAGACACATAATAAAACTCACTTATAATATTAACATATACGCACGTATACTTATACGTTCGAATATAAGAAAACTACTCCTCAGAATTCAATATTATTGTACAAAAAGAATTGATAACAAAGAAATAAATCTTTTGAGACCTTCTTATTTAAAAAGTAAATGTACAATAATTGCTCCACACTAAAAGTTTTTTATTCAATTTTTTTTAAATTTTGAAACTTTTTTAATACGCCTTCTTTTTTTTTTGTGGTATTTTTAAAGATTTTGTGTACTTACAAGTTAAAGTCTTCCTTTAATTAGTGAATTGCAGATATTTTATGTTAATTTAGTAATTATACAAAGATTTCATTTCAAATTGAATTAAACAAAAGATTTACAAAAATTGAACTAAAAATATTAGCATTCGATTTTTGTTTCAAAACTGTATTCGAAACTATCATTTTGCCTAAAGACCCTAGACCATAAAGTACAATAAGAAATAACCAGATTTTTAAGATTTTGCAGCAGTTAAGGATCAGCATCATTTCGCCAAATCCTTAAAATTCAATATCAAAAATATATTTCCGATAGGCATAGAAAGATAAATTTTAATAACCAGCCCTAAATCCTCAACTTTTGCAATAACAAATGTAACTCCAACAATTAATTAATTACAATATTCACAAAACTCATTAATTTTAGTGCTACTTAAACCACATAATAAAAATGTACAATGTTCAATTTTATTTTTTGTACTTAGTCATATTTAAAAGTTCATTTGAAAACTATTTTAATAGGTACAAAAAAAATGAAAAATTATTATTAATAATTTGAATAATTTCATTTGAATAATTACCGGTAATGTGAACTTTGTTCAAACGTACAATGTTATTCACACTGTTTATTATTTAACAATAGGTACAACAATAATTTATTTGCGAAAACATAAAATAAAAGATTTCCAAACCAAATACCAAATTTGAATTAAAATAAGTATAATATAATACTGTGTATACATTTGGCAGCTACTAACAGAAAGCATGCGCTCATATTTTAAATTTTTTAAATAGAAAGAAAGTGGTTCTCCTATTATTCCATTAAAATAAACAATTATAATTATAAATACACATATTAAATTAGGTAAAATTTAACCCATGAATCATAATTTTATAAAAAGATGAAATTTCATTAGAAAAATTGTTTAAATTTTCTTTTCTCTTAAAAATTCGTGTATCTGCTTTTATCATATTTCTCGTTGCGTAAATCTTGAAAAATTTATGCCTATCAAAATGAAAAAAAAATTGCTACTTTGTATGTGGTTAGGATTAATCTCATTGTTATACAATCAAGATTATGTTTGATTTTAACAGAAAATACATTTATGTAATCTAGATATCTTTTGGATATTTTGAATAAAAAAAATCATAGTAATTTGATATTTTATAAAATATGGCATAGTTTTAAAAATAAACCTTATATGAAATAAATTTTCTCAAAATTATTTTCACATATATAAATCATATAGGTATTATGCAAACATTATTAAAATAGTAAAATATATCTACGAATAAAATTAAAAAGGTAACTACAATATAAGTAACGCAAAAAATTAATGAGATCCGTAATTTGTTGCAATAGTTCAAATATCTTGAGATTTTCGATTTCATTATAATACAACAAATTTCTAGAGTTTTATGTAATCTTGTATAATGCAAACGGTTGCTGGAAGTATATCAATATTATGAAAAAATTGTGATAGAATTCCAAATATATACAAATATTGGTACAAATTACTTAACGAATCAAACACAAAATATTTACATTTTAGGTTTACATATCCTCGGTTAACACAAAACAAAACCATTTCAAAGATTATTTTGAATAGAAACAAAGAGAAGATCAAAATCAGAAGATCATAGCTTTAAAGCAATAAGCATTCATCCTTAAAGCAGTCTTTGATTTTCTAATATACTCTAGCATTTTGTGTATACTATAAAATTTGCAAATCTTAAAAAAAAAATTTAATAAATTTCAAAGTCACGACACTATTATTAATTTAACTTTTTTTATCGCTATCATTTATAAAAAATATAATCTTGATTGCTTAGGTATTGCAAAAAAAAAAAACGATTTTATTTTATAAAAATATCTTAGATCATCTTAGATGAACATTAATTAACACCATAGCTAATATCCTTAATGGTATTCTAAGTCAGCATTTAAAATACATTTACAAATTCTTTTAATTTCAATTAGTTTTTCTTTTTATGTACAAAAATTTGAAGAAAGATTAATTTATTTAATGGATAAATTAAATATTATTTCACTGAAATCTATTGTTAAATTTTATTTCAGTTACTTACTATATGAGCTCATAAAATTAAAGTAGGAAGCTACTTATTGTAAAAATTTAGTTGAATTTTGAATAGAAAATTTAAGTTGAATTTTAAATAGAAAATTTAAGTTGAAATTAGCAGTTGCTATTTAATTAAAATTTAAGAAATTCAATTTGTAGTTGGTTTCCTTTAAGTATTTCTTTCAAAACTTTAATTTTTGGTTTGACACCCCTAAAAACACTAAAATTTGCGTACGGTACGTAAAACCAGTACATGTTTTTTGAATTCATTGATCATAATTATATTGTTAATACATAAGTTGATATAGTAGACCTTCCTGTATAATAAAAATGGCACAAATTAATCCCTTATTTAGAAATTTTAATAACTCATATATGATCTTTTATAGTTTGGTATCCGAATTCTACTTCTATTTATCTTTCAATATTAACACAACAATATCAAAAATTGGCCTGAAAAATATCACATAACTTTAATTAGGGATATTCAAGTCGCCCTTTCAAACTACTGGGCTACTTAAGATATTTCAAATTCCTTGTTAACAACTTCTAAGGATTCATATACCTACAATAATATTCAATATAATTTCACATTGATAAATAGAAATAAATAAAATTGTTTTTGGCACATACATACATAAGTACAAGTTTCTTACCATTACATCTAGCACGAAATAATATTCCAATTGTTGTAATTGAAAGTAAAATCCCAAATAATATTATTGTACATAAAAATATCCAAATGTAAAGATCATCAATAATTCCAATACTTTTACTTTTAATAATTGTTATTGGAAAATCATCATTAAAATCATTTTCATTCGTATCATTTTGATAAAATATTGATCCAGTTCGATTTATTGATGTCCGAATAGGTGGACCGGTATCAAATATTTGTATAGTTGAAATGTCAGAAATTGGTTTTGTCATTTTGACATTGAAAACAAAAAAAAAATCTGATTGTTTATGCTTTTCAATTAATGGAATTTTTTTTTCTTTTTTCAATAAAATATTATTTAATTAATAATTATTATTGATCACATCATTTATAAATAATATAATTTATGTTACAACAATTTTAAACTAGTAAAACAACATTAAGACGCCTTTTCAAAATTGAAACAAAATAAATAAACAAAAATAAAATTTTAATTTTCTTCCTTTTTTTTTTTCTTGTTGTTATTAATTGTAGTTTTTCTTTTTTTTCTATATAAAAAATTTACAACTTGCGCGCACAAATTAATTCAACAACTATTCGTATTAAAATCAAATTATCGACTGAATCTGAATCTGATTTTAACATTTAATTCTACATTTTACAGTGTTCAAGAAAATGATCGAGATCGAGCATTGAGTTGAGTAAGCAAAGCAAAGCAGAAATGAAAAATGTTATCTCTCTATTTTGTAACATTTTTATTTCTTCTTTGCTTTGTTTATATTTAGCAGTATTGCCAAATGTTACCAATTACCTTTTCAATTTTTTTTCATTTTTGTTTGTTCAAATTCAAATTTTGTCCAATTTTTAAATTTTGAGGAAAACTTTAATTGCGAATATTGTGAACATTTCAAGATTTTATGACAATTAACAGAATCTAATATAAAATTTAACATATAAAAGTTGAGGTTTAAATTAAAATTGGATTTAGACTAAAAATATGTATTTTACTTGGAAAATTAAGCATGTTAGCGAATTGGCTCATTTTTTGTCAAATTTGGCATATTTATTTTTTTAAGTGGCAACTCTAATAATTACAGCGAACAGCGATCTAAAGTACAGCCAATTCAACAGTAAACATTCAACAGAATTTACATTACAGAAGCATAAAAATTCAGCAGAAAAAAAGAACAAAAAAAGTTTTCGATACACAAACACACGTACGGCACAAAAATAATTTCACTTTTATTTCATCAATTTTTATTACAGTTTACAGTTCAGCTCTCTATTTGAAAAAGTATAACATTACGCCGTAATTATTAACATAACAGCATAAAGAGAATCAACACTTAATCAACCATACAAATATCCGGATTTTATATTTTTTGTTTTTTTAATATAATTCCATTCAAACATTATGACATATATCGATGTTTGTTTTAACATTTGTGTTAAGAACCGTTACATTTTAGTAAACAAAAATAATGATACAAAAATTACTGAATTTGAAGCATGTTCAAATAAAAGCTAACATGATTCAGCCAATTTAGATTATTATTTGAAAGCGAGCATTGTACCGTTGTGCTACAAGAAAGCTTCTCTTTCATTGTTATATAATTTGTTGTTTTTATATTTTATGTCTCTTTTATCATTACAATATACAAATGTATGTAAGTATGTATTTTACTTACATACATGTGCTTTCGATTCAAATTCCTACACTTTTTATTCAAGTTTAATAAAGTCTTTGTCTACAATTTCAACTAATTACTCTTTGTTAATCATATTAATAAACTTAATTTCTGATGACAAAAAAATTAAAAAAAAATATGTTTTTGAATTTTTGTACATAAATAATAATAACGACGCCAACAATTTAGAGAGAAAAGAACTATCAACTTTGAGTATGGAACACGGTTGATAAATACCCTACATTTTAGGTTTCGAAGTTACAAAAGTAAAGTTGAAGTACAAAAAGTACAATTGATATACGTCACACGGCAAGTCATAAACATTTGACGTTTAAGTAATTCAAAAGTTTTTTCTTTGAAATTTCAAAAATTTAACTCAACCCTGTTTACATTTTTACATTTTTGTTTTTGTAAAAGTATAAGGCATATGCATGTGGGTGGAATGTAGATAATGTCAAATATTAACACATTCGTGGTGCCTGACAGCTCACAAATCTATGTAATTTTCACCATGTATGTATTATTCATGCATGGTAAACTGACATTGACTAACAAATTTTTAAACGTCAGCAACATCACTTTAGTTCTAAAATCGTCACCAGGTCTCGCATTAATGACTTTTAACATTCTCAATACAATCCAACTAGCAAAGTACAAAAAGTACAATTCAGAATCCCATTTTAGTACAATTAATTTTAACTCAAAATCAACACTGGTGTGGAAGCTGAACTAGAAGTCGAATTTAAAGAATCGAGGTTTAACAGTTGAATTGGAGTCCAAGTCGAGAAGTTGAAATTTAACTTGAAAAGTTGGAATCAACAGACTCGAAGTCGAAAAATCTGGAAGTCAGCGTCATAATTGAGCGCTGGTGTTAATTTGTCTGCATAAAAATCTAAGCGTTCGGGCTTAAACTTTTTCAATTAAGCCGCGATCAAGTTTAAAACTGAAAAGAAAAATGTAGCTGTGATTTGATTTAAATTAACCAAATTTTTTGTTAATTCCACAAACCTATTAAAAATGTGTTCTATTTAAATGTTTGGTTAACAACAAAATCATAATAGTAAATTTGCACACTGGGTATAACATCTCTTAGACGGTTACTCTAACATAATTACATAGTAACCTTTAAGAGCATACCTTGTGTAAATAAGACTTACCCAGTATATTTACAATTACATTGGTAAATTTACAGAATATACTTTTAAATAACAAAAGAATAAAAATGAAACATGAGTCAGGAAGTTTATTATTGCCGGTACAATGATATTCGTAGCAAGAAAATTTTGTCTTACAAAAATATTTCGTATATACATACATACATTAATACATATACAAGTTTATATATAATACATATATTATATTATTTACTCTAATATAATTCAAAAGATATCGGTCGCTTAAAAAATTTTTTATATAAAGTAGAGAGAAATTTTTTTGTTTCCTTAATTGAGAAGATCCCCTTATATTAAAGAAGCATACGTTGAAAGCATGCTAAATTAAGGAGACACATATATACATTCATACATATCTACATGCAAGAAAATCTTGATGATCACTCAACATTCTAACTTAAAAATGCGAGCACCCCAAGATGAAATACATATATGTAATCATTAAACTGAGGTATTCTAAGTGAATACTAAGAATTCTAGAACTTCAAAAATAATATGTAATTGAATTCGGGAAAAGAGAAAAACAAAATTAAATGAATGAACTTGTAAAACAATATAATGCGGAAATTTCAGGTATGGGTATGAAAAGTTCGTATGTACATAGAGCTGTGAATAAATGTGTGTTTTATTTGCATATTTGCAATTTACATTGGCTATGCGTTCACACATTCATTTACGGTATTTGGAAAAACTCCAAAATTTTTCTTAAAAAATTTTTTTTTTGTTTCTGAATAATTCTTTTGAATAAGGCACTAATTTTTTAAAATCTATTAAAACTCTATTTTTAACTATAGAAAACAACTTATTGATTGAAAAACATTTAAAAATTTTTTGGCGATGCCATGGAGTATATTTTATCTAAATTGAATTTATCTTATATTCGCACATAATTTGAATTAAGTTGGTCTAATCTGCTTGTGTTGAGTATATCAAAGAAAAATTCTTGCCAATTTCGATTTCAACGTATATAGTGGAGAGTACCACACAATTTTGTCTGGGCAAATTAAAATTTTTTAGCATTTTTGCAAGCACTTGAACACTTATTGGAATAAAATTAACCTATGTATTGTTATATTTTCTATATTTAAAAAAAATTCTCATAATAATCTTAAAAAATATCCGTGAATTTAAAATAGAAGACACGAAATTTGTTATTCAGGAAACTATAAACTATAAATCAACTCAATAATGCTCCAATAACACATTAATGTTGTAACATATTATACAGAAAATATGTTTTAGACTCATCGGAGAATTTGGTATATTTTAGACCAAAAATATCTGATCCATTCAAATTTCTTTCCTTCTTTAACTAAAAATTAAATCTAATATTTTATTAATCTACATCTGTGATTTCTAAGAATTATTTAAAAGATAAATAAAATTATCTAAAAATTAAAAAAAAAACTTTCGAAATCACCTAAATAAAAATTTTTTTTATGACAAATTCATAAATTTTCGGTCTGTCTAGTATATATAAAAATTATTTGAATGGTTCAACTTGCAGATAAATGCATTTTTACTTTTAATATTTTGAAAAACTTTTTAATTTGTCTTTTTTTTCGGTTGTAAATTGGAGTGGAGCCAAAAGCCTACAATTTCCCATTAAAAAAAAAACACAAAAAATTTATCATTTAAGATTTTTTTTTTTCAATTTTTTTATTTCACTTGAGCTCATAAAAAATGAAAATAATAATATAAAATGCTTTACGCATACTCAACTCCAATATGCTTATTATAAAAGGCACTATAAAAAAATAAAGGGTACAAAACACTATTAATTTTAAAATAGTTCTTAGCCTTCTTACGAGTATATTGGCTTGAAAAAGAACTCCAAGAAACAAGAAATTTATGGGGGGAAATTTTCAATACCTCTCAAGAATTCAAAATTTTAAATTTTACTAAAAGAGAATGGTTCGCACGATTTTATGAACTAAACAAAATTAAACTTTTATTACTGCATTTACAATACGTGTTCAAAAGCATATTGTATATACAAACACATAAAGTATGGAAGGTAAAAATGCGTGGTGCCTTTTTGAAAAGTCTTAAAATTTGACGATTTATGTATGTATGTATGTTAAGGTAAATAAACGTCCTATAAATCAAGAAAAATATTAATGCATAGGCATATTTAAAACTTGTGAGCACAAAATGAACGCAAACACAAGGAGCTAAAACAAAATTGATTGTATTTATTTTATAGACCTTAATTTAAGACTAGTGCTACTTAATTTTTGGAATAAAATTTTTATTTCGAAAAATCTGAGCCGCAAAATTATAATTCAAACAATTTCGATTTACAAGTTTTCAACAAGCTTGGAATAATTTTGTATAGGCTTTCCATACTTCATTAATCCTAAAAACAAAAAAATTAGTTGGAAAAAATCTAAACTGAGGCCGAAATTAATTAGAATAAGATTAGAAAAAATATTAAACTTTAGCTTAAAAATAGGTGTGCCTATACAAAAATTTCAATTTATGACTAAAAATAATGCAATTTTTTTTTTATTTACAAAACATTACCAAATTTTAAAACAAGTAATAAACATTTGTACATTTCTCTGAAAATTTACTTCATTTGAAAAACGAAAAAGAATTATTAAAAAATTCCAGACATGTGACAATTTACATCTGTGATTTCTGAGAACTTAAAGATTATAAAAAATTTCCGAAAAAAAAAATTATTAAAAGCGTTGGAAAAATTTCACGAATTTGGTACAACAGCGTTGGAAGAAATGAAACTTTTTTTTTTAATAAAACTATTTATAATATTTTCGTTATCGTCATATTATAAATTAATGCATATACAGTGTGTCCAGTTTGTGATGGTATTCTTGAATTAGAGTGATCAAATTAGGGTCCAAAGCAAAATATAATATGTACATATAAGCTGAACTTTCCTTTTTTCAACTTTTGGTCGTTTTCAGGACATGTTGAACAGATTTAAAACCTATGCCATAAATTCTCTTTTCAGCTTTATGAAATATTTACAAGACCACGCAGTGCTACTCAAAATCGTATTCAATATCTGGGTCTTATAACATGTTTTTGTATGTAATAATAGTTGTTATTTTGGCTTTCAATATTAATAACAAAAATGTAACGAAAATTGTGAAAATAACAATGTCAGCTTCGGAAATATCATAATACTACGGAACATCCTATCTGTATACTTGTGACGATACATCAATTATAGAGGGTGTGTTATACATACATCATCTTCATCTAAATAATTTTTCATCATTCAATTGGAATTTTAAATATGATAATTGTAGAATCCATCAAAGAACGCTGTTTATCATAAAAAGAAAATTATATTAAATATCAAAAAAGAGAATATGAAAATTGTAATGAAATAATGTTTCAGATCGAATGAAGAAGTAAACATTTTGTTTATTACTTACCAGGCAATCATTCATTTACATTCATTGCTAATATTAATTTATGATAAAAGTATCTCATAATACTCTTATTCAACTTTAAGTTTCTTAAATAAATTTATGAACTTATGTTTATATAATGCATATTGTTAGAGCGGTACCAAATCTGTTATACAACATATAGCATCAACGTACAATGAATATACCTAATTCATATTACAAACAAATTTTCGATTTGGAAAACCTTTAACTCGGACTTTTTAGAAAAACGCTCTTTATTTAAAAATTACATATTATTTGACTTAGTATGAAATTTTAGTATTAAAATATGGCACTTTATAAATTAAACCCGACTCCAAAAATACCATTAGCCTATAAGGCTCCTATCATAGTAAATTTTACTCTTATAAATTTCAAATGGATGTTGTTGAATAATTCAATTAAATTACGAATTAAAGGGTTAACATAATATATGTGTGGTCTTTATGTATTTCTATAGGTACTTATAAATAAATTTCATATTTAGAGGTACTCTTAAATTAATTTCACTACTTTTATATCCCTGTTGCAAAGTTCATGTTTTTGTTATTTCATTTTAAAATTCTACTTAAAATTACAATTTACTCATCTGCATAAATACAAACATTATACACACAATCTCATATTTCAAAAAATAATTACAAAAAAAAAAAAAATTTGTTAATTTCATCTTTCAACTCCGTCTGATATGATCTATGTATGTGATGATCTAAATATACCAAAGTAAAGATATTAAATTATAAAAATATAATACGAAATAAATTTGTATGGAGGTCAATTAAATGTATTATGGCTCAAAAATGAACACATATTTTTACACATATACATAATAGACTCAGTTCCTTCTTTATACAAAAAAAAAAAAAGAAAATAATTTTTGAAAAAGAATATTGTGGTCTACTATTAAATTAATATAAAAAAATCTACAATTCATATAAAACGTTAATAAGTGTCCATTCATTCATTTTTCTTAAATTCATTGTGGTTTTGTTATGCTATAAATATTATGCACCATAAGATACATTACTAAATAATCAAAATATAGAAATCATTAACGATAAAAAAAAATATTCGCACAATTGAAATTTTTAATTGGAATATAAGAAAAGAAAACTATATACAATGGTTTATTTTAATAGTCATTTCAAATCTGAGACTTGAAATACTTTCTTTTGTACCTTAAGTGGGGTACATATATGCCTATAATATAGATATATTTTAGAAGTAATAATGTAACTTTTATGACGGAAATAAAATTATATGAAATGTTCGTACACACTATAAAAGGAACATTATGACGAAACGATTTTAGAATTAAACGATTGAAATTTAAAAGAACTTTGAATCATTCAATTTAATTAAAATGATTTTTTTCTAAATTAACCAAATTAATACTAACAAATTTTTATTATGCTTTTGTATTTTTATTTTAGATTAATTAATACGTTGTGAAATTTTAATAGAGCAAAGAAACGAGTCAAGGAAAATTAAAATTTTCTCCTCGAACTGCTCCCGGACCAGTAATTTACCGCTTTCTAGGCGGATGCTCTATCAACTCATCACTACGTCACCTATCTGCTCATAAAACAACATTATTCAAATCTATCTAATTAGTATTTAAATTTATTGGCAAATTAATCTTAACCATTTTCTAATTTAAATAATAAAAAGTATTTATTTTACATCTAGATTGTATAATGCATTGCAATACTTCAAATGTAAAAGCTACAAAAAGCTTGCTATTCTCACTACGAAACAAATATTTCTAAATTTGATTAGAATATTTTTCGAAAAATTTAGAAATCAATTCTTAGTATGATATTTCTATGAAATTCTTAGTATACAATATTAATTAGTAATTACAATACAAAGCTTTTTTCATCTTAACTATTAAAAATTTTTTTAGAAAATAGAATTTTATTAAATTTTACTATATACATATAATATTTATTTATTAATCTTATTTATCAGGCAACTATTGCTTAGATCATTAAGCACATCGATTAATATCGTATATGAAATTGAAAATAAGCAATACAAGCGTCTGAAAATATTGTTAGTTAATCTTGTTTTCAAAGAAAATATTAAATGTTGAGATTTTTAATTGAAGATAAGATATTAAAATTAACGTTTTATGATCAAATTATTTGTCAATATTAATAATTAATTGAAATATTTCTTGAAGAAATTCTAATAATTGTGGAATTTTTAGATATACATATGTAATTAGTAGTTAATTATAATAAAAATAATTGTGAATTTCCGTAATTTGTTTTTGAATATTATTACTAAGATTACAATTAAATTACATTAAAAAAATGTTTTGTTTAAACTAAATACAAATTTTATTTAGCTAGATTTAATATATTGGGTAATTAAACCCGTACAACCGTTTTAATTAAAAATTATAATTTTGGAAATTAAATAATTTATTTCTTTTTTTAATTTTTCATCACTAAAATTACAAAACAGCAATAAATTCAATTTCAAATCTAAAATCAAATTTTTGTTTTTAAGAAATAAGTAGTTATCACGCAATTAAAATACCTTTTACCCTACAAAAGTGACTAAAAAGGACCGAAAAACAAATTTTTTATGATGATCAGCACGCTTTTCATATCATATTTTATTAAATGTAAAATCATACTTTATGTAACATGTTATTTATTTTATGATATCTGCTTTTTCTTTTGTGTGTAAACTTTTGCTATGTACATATGATGGAATATTTTTATGCACTATTGCTTATTTCTAGAACAAACACAACTTCTTTTACGCAATCCCTGTATACTTATGTGTATATTCTTGACATACAAGATATTTTGTGGAAAATAAACATTAGCATTAGCCATTAGTATATGTTTTTTTCTGTATTAAATTAACTTATAACTATTAAAGTAAAAAAATTAGTACCAGAACTGAAATTTGAGTATGTACACATTTTCTTACAAAAACAAAAAAATTCTATAACCAACTATTTATTGTTTGCGTAACATTTTAACAAATACCTTACGCCGGACTTAATTTTTTTTTTGACTATAATTATAAACAATTAGAATGCTAAAAAAAAGTAAAAACTAGAAAAATTAAAAATGAGAATTCTGTAACTAATTTTAATATCTACATACCGATTCTCAATCTTCTTATTTAAATTGAAAAGGTGTAAGGTACCTTCTCAAAGTTGTAAGCTTCTTTAGGTGATGTAAATTAAATTTTAAAATATTTTACTTAACTTAAAAAAACTTTAGAATTTTTTCTTCACGATTTTTTTTTATATTTTATTTGTACTATATTTGTATTGCATGATATCAACAATAACGGTATTAATAACGATTCATCTAATAACTCAAAAGGAATGAATTTCAATTGCGATTAACCTTCATTCCCGAAATGTAATAACTTCCTTTACGGACAATATGTAATTATAAATTAATTTATTAATACCGTATTGCTGCATACAAGGTAAATTTGGTAATTCAATTGTGTACTCTGCAATATAATACAAATTTGAAAAAGGTAATTCACCATAAGTTGAATAAAATTTTTATTTCGAAATAAATTAATAAATTTTCAATTGGTTTGCGTTTTAACTAAAAGTGGTAAATTTTTTATATTAGTTTTTACGAGTTGCCATTTTGCTCTTTATTACGTTGGTGTTTTGAATTTAAAATAGCCTTGTTAATTTCCAAATTAATTCGCTAATTTATACTTCGCGAATACCATAGATTTATGAGATTAACAAAATCAGTATCTCAACAAAAATACGTTGAAATTAAGATAGGTACATGTCATATTATATTAAAAAATAATTATCAATAAAAAATTAACATTTAAAAAAAAAGCTGGAACAGAGCAAATTTTTACTCAACTAAAGGAAACAATCGAGAAAAAGGAAGTAAAGGTTAAGCAATTTTAATCAAAATGTATTTGTTTTAGATTTGCCGAATTTTTATATGTGAGGCTTACAAGTATTTGAACTTTGTAAAAACGTAATTTGAGTCCAAATAACCGTGTAATAATAAACTGAAATTTTTTTGAAAGTGTAATCTAAAACATCTTCTATGTTGTATAAAAACTTCATGGGGTACACTTAACTTGAACAGTTGAAATATTTTTTCATCACCATGGCCTTAACTTTTTTAGAAATTATACAAACCATATTAAAAAATTTATATATATTTCTATACATACATATTTATATGTAAATCAATTCTCAGAATTGATAAGTTTTTTCCAAAAATAAAAAAAAAATTCATGGTCTCCGATTTAAAATGAGTGTAGTTTCACCAATCTTCCTCTGGCTCTTGAGGCGCTGGTACAGCAGCTTTAATACCAGTACGGGTATCCATCTAAAAGCAAAAGAGTGTGTGAAAATACAGTAAGAAATACAAATACTATTCAATTATACATAGTATCACTCATAATACTAGAATATAAAAATTTTAAAATTAAAAAAAAGAAAAACTATTTACCGTGCGAACATCTTTTCCTCCGAAATTATTTGATCTATATGAACCCCCACCTCCTCCAACACTTTTCAAGAAGTCAGGTACTTCCTGATTGGCTTGCTCTAATATTTTTACTAAATCGGGTGCTAATGCTGCATCATGGTCTGCATCAAAAAAGCTAGTCGCTTTTCCTTTATTCCCCACGCGTCCTGTTCGACCAATTCGATGTACATATTCATCAATACTTTTTGGTAAATCATAATTAATTACGTGATCTACATTTTTGATATCTAAACCACGAGCAGCTACTGAAGTAGCAATCAATACGGACATTTTTCCACTTTTAAAGTCTCTTAAAGCCATTTCACGTTCACGTTGCAGCCTGGCGCCATGGATTGAAGTTGTAGGATATTTTGTTTCAGATAATAAAGATGCCAAGAAATCTGCATTTCTTTGTGTTTCAACGAAAACCATAGTTCCTCTTGCATTATTTTCGTTTTGATCTAGTATATCAGTTAATTTAGCACGTTTGCTAAATCTAGTTACTTCATAAAAATTTTGCTCAACATCTGCGCAAGCACCTCCAACGATACCTATTGTTAAGAATATGTAATTATTTAGAAATCGACCAGCTAAATGTTGAATTTCTGTTGGGAATGTGGCGGAAAACATTAAAGTATGACGTTCTGATTGTGGTCTTATTGTTGGATTCTCCATAATTTTCTCGACTGATGGTAAAAAACCCATATCCAACATTCGATCTGCTTCATCAAGGACAATATAACGACAATCTTCAAATGTTATAAATCCTCGATCACAAAAATCCAATAATCTCCCAGGTGTAGCTACCAAAATATGGCAACCTTTAGCAATATTATCACCTTGATGTTTTACACCTGTTCCACCATATACAATAGAAATTTTTAAATAGGAACCACGTGCAAATTTTCGAGCTTCCTCAAAAATCTTTAATCAAAAAAATTTAAAACGTTTTTCTTTTATATAAAATTAATATCCTATCAAATAAAATAATTAATTATCATAAATTAAAGCTTATGTACAAATTTTCGAATTGGGTTAAAAAGTGTATTTTCATATGGTTCTTTTCAAAATTTCGTTTAAAATAAAAATTTATTGTTACCTGAATAGTTAATTCTCTCGTTGGCGAAACGATAAGAGCATGAGGTTTACCTATATCTAAATCTTCATTGTTTGCTAAGAGATCGTGAATAATTGGAAGAAGGAAAGCAGCCTAAAACACAACAAAACAAAAAATTAACTATTATGCACGTTTTTGCTTCAAAAAGATATAAAAAACTAACTTTTATGTTTTAAAGAATTTATTTTTCAAATTCAGTAATTGCTATTTCTTTACACAAATACATAATATACGTACTTTATTTATAAATTTTCATTTTGATTAAAAATATTTAAAAATAGTAACAAAAATAAACTAATATAACCAAAAAACAACAAAAGTTTATTTTCGAAAATAATATAATTAAATCGCTTACAGTTTTCCCTGAACCCGTTTGGGCACATGCCATTAAATCGCGTCTCGCTTTTATAATTGGAATTCCATTTTTTTGTATAGGAGTCGGTCTAGTATAGCCTGATTTTCGGATATTTTCCATAATAAGTGGTTTAAGATCGGCTTCTTCAAAAGTATTTATTGCTTTGGGAGGACTATCGCCCGAAACCTATTTATTAATTATTACTATATAATTTATTCTTCAAATTTAATTAGAAGAAAAATGTACCTCAACTGGAATGGAATCATATTTGCTAAAGTTGATTCCTGAAGAAATGCCCTGTCCAAAAATCTCACTCTCATCTTCGGTTGGCTCGGGTGGTATGTATAAATCTTTCTTCTTTTCAGCATTATCACTGTTCTTATCTCGATAATTGTTTCTTTCTTCGTTAAAGCCACCGCCATTATTACGATCTCTATCTTGTAAGCGTCCTCTTCCTGCACCACCTCTATCTCTATCCCTGCGACCATCTCCATCCTCACCTTGATCTCTATTCCTGCCTCTACTATAATTTCTTCCATTTCTATTATCTGCTCCTTCAGAACTTCCCCATTCACCATCTGAATATATTAAACAGTTGACTATAGCACAGAATGCAATAATTTACAAAAATTTGTTTTACACAGAAGTAACATAAATCACACAAAGAAAAACTAAAACATTTATTAGCTACTAACCGCTACGATCACCATCACCTTTTCTATGATTAAAACCATTTCTCTCACCATAACCATTCTGTCTTCCACCACGATATCCTCTATCAAAACTTTTCCCGCCACGTCCTCTTCTCGATCCATGACCTTCAATAAGAAAACCATAAATATTCAATGAAACAAATACATACCACAATGTCATTAAGTTGACGTAATAATTAAAGTTTAATTTTACCAAAATTACTCTTTTCTTGTGCTTCATCTAAATTGGATATTCCTGGATTATCATCGTTCCAGTCATTATCTTCTCCATCGACTTTCGGTAGCGCATAATTTTTTGCGACGAAATTTTGACCGGCATCCTAAAATAAAAATTGCGGTATATATTTGTATATGTATGTATATACAGAAATTCGCTGTGTACTTCACATTTTTTTTTTTGAACAAAACAATAACAATATGTTATTGTAAGTATTTTATTCTTTTGAAAGAAAGTGAATTAATGGCTTTATAAATAATCTATACTTACGATATCATCGTCCCATTCATCAGCCATAGCTAGAGAAGAAAAAAACATTTTAAACTTATTGTTTTGTAACAACGTTATAACAAATAAAACAATTTAGATATATTTAAACAATCAATCTTCAAAAAAAAAATATGAATCTATTCAAATCATCACGCTTATCTTTGTTTCTTGGAAATTTAAAATACGATTTCGCGAAATGAAAATCGTCAAACTAAAACAAAAATTTAACCACAAACTAAAATACATATGAAGTTATTTTGCTGACAAATGAAAAAAAAAAAAATAAACAAGAAATCATAATATCATATGGTTATATTGTAAACATTTTGAACAGGGTTACCAACAATATTTTGTCCACTTTTTTGATTTCATTAACAACAAAAATGTTTAAAGTCCCTACAAAGAGTTGGATCGAAGAAAAATTGATTTAAAAAGCAATAACGAAATGAAATTTTTTATAAAATTAAAAGACCTGGCTTATTTTGGCACAATATTAGAGAAAAATTGAGTAAAAAATATTTGTGAGCTTAAATTCACAATCGAATAAACTTATTATTTTCTTAAAAGTTTTTTTAAATGACTAGATCTTTCTAAAATTTTAAGATATTATTAATTAAATTTCTGTATAATTTAATGTGGTATATAAATTAGGAACCTATATTGCGTTATACATATTACACATATTACTTGCAGGTGTTATTAATAGCTCACTCTACTATCGAAATGTGAAGTTATGATAAATATAATACCTACTTGATTTTGTACGTGCGGTTCTAGTAAATAAGTTGCTCTAAATCACAATACGTTAGTTGATTTTTGGTTTGGCGGATTCACAAACTAATAATGTAAAACAATATCTTTCACAACAGAAACAATTTTTGGTTTTAATTTGGATTTCTGCTCGAGCTTTTGATCTTTGGCGTAGCTATCTTCCAAGCAGTCGCTTTTGTCTAAAAAAATAAATAAAATAAAGATAAAAATTAAAAGTGTGTAAATAAATAATTTTTAAACTTTTCTAATTTAAGAATAGACAACCTTTTATGTATACAAAAAATTTGACATTTTGTTGCCAACATTAATGTAATGTTTATAAACTTTTTATCATACTAAGTGTGTTATAAACAATAAAACTAATTTTTGGAAAGCAACATTTGTGTGAGCAGAGTGGCGCAGTGGAAGCGTGCTGGGCCCATAACCCAGAGGTCCGTGGATCGAAACCACGCTCTGCTATAAATTTTTTTTTTTTAAATAACATTTTTTTTTTGTTTAATATAAATAGTATTAACACTGTTTTGAATTTAAAAAAATCAAAAAAACAAAAAGCAAATCTAAGCAAAAAAGAATTTTTTTCTCTTCAATTCAAAAATTTATCGTTGTAGTCTAATATACATATGTATGTTTGTGTACATTCTAGATTTTTATATTATCTACATTTTAAAGTTACAAATCCAAAAAATAATAAAAAATAATTTTTTAATACAATTTTTAATGAATTTGTTTACGCTACGGAATAGGCAAATGTGCTTTGATAATAATTTATTATATTTTTTTTTTGTTCTTTACACTAGTAGGATATTAGTAGATATGTATTTTAAGATAAAACAAAGATTTCCCACGTGCAATGATAGAACTTTTGATTTGCATGTATGTAGGTGGTTGGTACCCATTCTATGTATAACTATTTATATAGATAAATGAAATATCGAGATCAGAAACAGGATTATTATTCAAATAACATTCTTCCATAAAATATGTAAGCTAAAACCCAATAACTTACATAATTTTATGTGTAATATGGAATGTAGGTTTTCTACCTACTCATTTTCATTCGAATTTGTGCTTATACATATATGTATGTATACCTAGATACTTTGGTACTTTCAATCCAAGTGCTAAAATCAACCGTTATTGAAAAACTCAAGACCACTTGATAGTAATACCGACATCAATGGAGAAAAATTACAATTAATTAGAAAACAGAACAATTTATTACAATATTACAATAATTTTTAAATTTTGTTAGTTCAATATATTATGTACATTCTTTTGCACGTAAAAAGTTAACTTCAAAATTAATAATCTTAGAACTTAATGTAATTTTATCACTATTCTAACGCTTGCACATACATACATACATATGTTAATATCTACATACATTGTAATTATCTGGATACATGTAATGTACGTTCATCTATTTATACATACATACATATGTATGTAGATATGTATGCATGTAATTATTTGTATCCTTAGCAAGTTTAGTTTTCAAAATTAAATATTCCCGCAAAAATAATTAAATTCACATATTTATACCACATAATATATTTATACCACATTATACAATAAATGGCAGAATATTACACTTACTTGAAGCTGCTGGATTGGATTTTTTGAAACTTCTATCCCTTTTGATTGTACTCAACAAGGAAGCTCTTGTTTCACTCTATTTTAATTCACAACTGCTAGATCCTTTTGTTTTTTCCTAATATATGTAATAAATGATTACTTGTTTTTTAAACTTTTAGAAATTTTGTAAAATTTACACCAATACCAATCCTTAGAGGAGCGCAAATTTTTAACAAAAACGAAATGGATTTAACTTTCTAACGGTGCTTTGACAATTGACAATGGAACACACGATTTAAAAGAATTGATTTTATTTTTTGCTTTTATTATTTTTGAAGTTTGACATTAGTGATGGGTGATATAATTGTAAAATCAGAACCAAAGCAGTATCTGTGGTCGCTTTTCGTAGTTAACCCGAAACAAAACAGCGACTCTTTAGTATTTCAACTCTTTAGTATTTTGCATATAATGTCACACAAATGGAAATAGATGATGTAAAAAAAACCGTCAGCAGTAAATTAAGAATTTAAGTTATTTACTTTAGGTAAAGTTGGAATTTAAGTTTACGGGCGGTGTTTAAATTCGCACCAGCAATGTCACTTGAACCTTGATAATCTTATTTAAAGAGGATTGATTTGCCATTTATTTTGACGATTCTTTGTAATAAAATTCACAATATATTAAGAGCAATTGATTTCGAATAGCGAGGATTTTCAAAGAAAACGTCTCTGTAATGAAATCAAAACCTGCGCGCAACTTTTAATGAAAAATTGAATTTGAAATCGTTTTCATATTTTGGGTTTACATGTTTTACAAAACATGCAAAACATTAGTTTTTGAATATTATGCTTTCTTGGAAACCAAATATAATATAGCTTTATCATAATGCTCTGTCCGTATAGCGTTATTGAATAATTTGTTACTGGAAAATGTTACAGATATTTTGAAAAACTCAAAAACATTAATATTTTTTATATAACAAATGTATTATTTTAATATTTTCCTATACTTGAATAATATTAAATATATTATTAAATAATTTATTCTTCAATATTCTACAAAATTAATATTAAATAATAAGATTAAATAATAAGATTGTCATTTGTGTAACGAGAATATATTAAATTATACTTTAATTAAATTCGTGGTAGTTCAAAATATTGCTCCTAAAGTTTTCCTGCCGCTTGCCTATGTACTTAATATAGGGAATTTGTACATTAAAATCTTAAGTGATTAGCACTTAAGAATAAAGATCCGAGATCTACACCTCACAAAAGAAAAACACATAAAAAGGCCTAAGTGATTTTTTTAATGATAAAAAATTTTTTTATTTATATTAGATATCATATTGTTTTCAACTCTCAAGTGACTCCTCTTTTTAAGTGAGTTTTACTTATAATTTCTCCCGCAAAAGTGTTTAAAAACAAAAGAAGCAATGTACTAATTAACCTAAAAAAATAAAATATTTTTGTTGCATATGAAACTAGAATTTACTTAGGTTCATAGCTGCATTACGTCCAAAATTAAATCTGGTGAACACTTAGGTTAATATTTTTTTGTTTTCTAATAAAAGATATAGGTACATATTATTAATACGTCATTTAATTTTCTATATGTCATTTGTAAATATAAGTATATAAATATTTGATGCTCAACATTCAAAACAATGCTGTTAAACTTAACACTGATAATAAAACCTATCACAGAACCGCAACATTTATGTGAGCAGAGTGGCGCAGTGGAAGCGTGCTGGGCCCATAACCCAGAGGTCCGTGGATCGAAACCACGCTCTGCTAACTTTTTTTTTTTTTTTAAATATTTAAAAATTTAAATGAAAAATTTAATTTGAATTTTTAAAAATTAGGAAAGCAAGTAGAATATGTACATACATAACTATATAATTATATATTTCTAGCTACATATCCATAAGTTCATGCTTATGTTTATTTGAATGTATGCATAATAAGATAAGGTTATCATTATCAATATCAGCACTATAGCATAAATAAACGATAATAGTAAACCTTTTTCCAATTGAATACTTCACATCTAAGCGAAATATGATACCACTACCAGGAATTTTAATTTATGACTTGCGCTTTATTTCACATTATTTTAACATTTTTTTTACTAATTTGTGTATGTATGTACGAATGTTTGTATAAAAATTTTAAAAGCAATTAAACTTTTTTTTTTGTTAATGCTGAATTAAAATTCTTAATCAAAGCAAAACATTTTAAAATTTAATTCTTGAATTTGACATTGACATAAAATTTATGTATTGGTGCCTAAAATCAACAGCTAGTTTCTTTAAATCCCCATTCTGATTACCTACAAAATTTGTTTTTGTTTGTTACTTTTTTCTACTTGAGTGAGCACAAATTTTAAAGCGAAAACTTATTATAGTTGTAAATAGTCATCTGATTAGTCAACAAGTGGTTTTTATTGATTTTTGTGTGGAAGTACACGCTCTCTAATCTTCAAATTTGTTTTATTTTGTAGAAATTACATATTTGATTTTTACAGTAAGTAAATTAATTTTCTTGTTAATTTGTTAAATACTTTAAGTTTTTGTTTAAAGTTTTCAATATATTGTAGGTTTTAAATTATTAGAATGGATCTCTCAACTAAAAAAACATATTTTTTAATAACTGGTGCATCAAAAGGAATCGGAAAATGTATGGCGATTGAATGTTGTAAGAAATTCGTAAAAAATTCTTTAGCAGTGCTTGTGGCTAGATCTGCTTCTGGTTTAGAAAAAACTAAAAATGAAATTGAACAAAATAATCCGCAAATCAAAGTGAAAGTAATTCCTATGGATTTAACTAAAGCAAATTCGAATGATTATGATAATTTATTAAGTGACTCAGTTGGAAATTGTTTTGGTTCAGATAATTTTGAAAGAGCAATCATTATACATAATGTTGGTTCATTAGGTGATGTAACTTGTAAAGCAAAAGATTTTAATGATAATCAGAAATGGTCAGAATATTTTCATTTGAATGTTTTCTCGGTAGCAGCTTTAAATTCACAATTTATAAAGAAGTTTTCAAAATGTGAAAAAATAATTATTAATATAACTTCAAAATGTGCAATAGAACCATTTAATAGTTTAACATTTTACTGTTCAGGTAAAGCTGCACGAGAAATGTATTTTCGATGTTTGGCTAACGAAGAAGCAATTGATTCAAAATCAAATATTCTTGTATTAAATTATTCTCCTGGACCAGTTGATACTGATATGTCATTGGAAATACAAAATAAATCAAGTGATGATAATATAAAGGAAGTGTTTGGAAATATGAGAGCAAAAAAAGAAATTTTAACACCAATTCAAACAACAAAAAAGTTTATAGATGTTTTGGAAGCTAAAAAATTTAAATCTGGAGATCATATTGACTATTTTGATTGAGATAAGTGAATTAGGTGATGTATAATTTTAAAGTTATTAAATATGTAAATATAAATAATGTTATATAATTGCTATTTGCTATGTAATACTCATCATTGTATCAGATTGTATCAAAATATTTAGAACTAAAGTTTTAATGTTGCTTAAATATCGATATCATACTACGAGATATATACGTATATAATATTTTGCGAATTTATTAATTCTTTGCTATGTAAATATTTCAGCCTACAAGGGAGCTTCGAAAAGCCAGGATTCATTGTTTACTTTAATATTGATTTGAAATTCAATTACGATAGACAATTGGTGCTTTGATATACCTCTTACATACACACATTAAATTAATATTAAATTATGAAGCATGTAATTTTTTTAAGATTTGAAAACAGTTTTTAAATCTGGAAATAGAGAGTGTAAAGTTTTGATTGATAACGAAATTTGTAAATTTTGCTTAGATTTCACAAGAAACTAGATTTTAAAATTTGGAATGTTTTAAAGAAAATAATTGGATCGGATAATCGGATATATCTACCTAATTCAAGATATTGAAATTTTGACTTTAATCCGATTGAACTTTTGATTGAAATTTTTATTTTAGAAATGCATCAAATGTGTAAATAATAAATTAATATGTCGTATACTATTTACCTATCCGGATCTTGATTCTCTTTCAATCTCAACTTTGGACATTGAACATGAAATAACAAACAATTAAATGATAAAGAAGTGGAGATCTTATTTCCAAAATGTTGGTCTGTAATAGTTTTTTTTTTTTACAATCTTACGGATTTCCTTAAAGCAGTGAATCCTTCAGCTTCATTAACTCAAGCAATTTTTCAAAATGTGTTGAATTTTAATTTGTCTTGTTAGTAAATTGGAATAATGTCGCGATGTTATTTAGAATGTTTTTTCAGTAAATGGTTTCAGTCTATGCTAAAAAAAAAATACCTACTCGTTGGAGGTAATGACATCTATATGTGATTTTTGTAATATTTTGTTATGATAGGTTCATGTCTATTCTAAATACGTTCCACAATGCTTATTTTTGACTTATCGTTAAGGAAAACTATTAAATGCATTAATATTGCCATCTTTTGGTAAATAGAAGTATAATAAACGCTCCAGTAGTATAAAATCTAATTTTATCAGACTCTATTTTAATAGAGTTTGCTGTTATTCTCTTTACTCTTCCGCGGTAATTGGTTTTACAGAACATTTTGTTAAATTGTTGAAAAACAAACTGTCTTTATGCTCCTTACATACTCTCTTATTTAATATTGAATAATAATAGAAAATATGTAGGTACTGGACGAATTATTAACGGAAGTAGGTGAATAATAAAGGTGACAAGACTTTTAAATGAAAATTACTTGCGTTGGTCTTGCACACCAATGATTAATTACATTTTATCGATGACCTATACATTTTACTTGTACTTTTATATTACTGTTACGTCAATACTTAAAATCTGATGAATATTAAATTGGCATTGTATTTAATTTAACTGAAATTCTGATAAGAAATGAATGGGTTCAATTTAATAACATTTTCCGTATATTTAAAGTTAAATTGGTTTATTAGGACATTCGTTAACACTTCGATGAATTGCTGAGTACTCGAATTCCTTGTATGGTTTTGGAATTTTATGGTCGATCAAATAAAATGGTGCTCATAATTCGATTACATCTTTATATATTTCAAATACTTGGATTTTGTCCAGTGGTATTTTCACAAAAAAACTATAATTTAAAAAGAAATTTATTAATATTTTGGACAATTTTTCAAATTAATTTTCATACTCTTACTAATGCAATGATTTTTTTAAATCGTGATAATATTTTGAATATTGAAAGTCTCTTCGGCAATTTTAATGATATGTTAAAATTTTTTTGGTTAACTCTATCTCATTATACATCATTAATAGAACCATTATTAAAACAAAAATTTATTTCAAAATTTTGGGAGATTTTTTTTTTATTACAAAATTTAAAATTTAAAGGAAAAAATGAATTGAAGATTAAACAACAATTAATGAAATATCGTAATTTTTTCCTAATTTTTCATATATTTTGGCTTTTTATAATTATATACGAATATCTTTTAATTTCAATGATTCGTGATCATAAATGGAAAGAATATTGGTTTGCATTTACTGCACCCGTTGTTATAATGCGTTTTAGACATATGCAATTTTTTATGTGCTTTGAAGTAATACGAATTGAATTAATTGATTTAAATGATGAATTAAAAAAATTAATTAAAATTTCGTTAATTGAGTGTAACAAAAAAATGAGAAATATTAATTACGATGACATTTTACAAAGAGAAATTAAAAATTTACAAATACGTTATCATAAAATTTATGAAATGTCAAGAAATTTTATGATTGGTCATGGTTTATCACTTCTTACGAATATATTTAAAAGTTGTACAATACTTTATGCAAATTTTTATTGGAGTTATTGGGTATTATTTAGATTTACATTTGGAATTGGTAAAATTAAATGCGTAATTATTGAAGTTTGAATTTATTTATAAAACATTTTTCTTTTTTTGCAGAATATTTTCTTGTAACACCAGTTTTCATCAATATAGTTATTGTTTTGATTTCTTCCTGGAATTGCATGGATGAGGTTAGTACTGTAAAAACAATGAAGATTAATTTTGTATGCATGAATATTTAAAATTAAAATTTTTTAAGGCTACCAAAGTTGGACTCAATGTACATAATATTTTTTTCGGTTTAGATAGTTTAAAAATTTCAAAGCAGGTAAAATATTTGAGTTACTTTCAAATAATGTCACTTATACGGGCGAAAGAAATGTTGATCTCTTCTCAACATTTCTTTCGAAGTGCAAGTAAATGGGAGTAGATTTTTAATTTTTAAGATTCAAATTCAAAATTACAATCAACAGATTAATGAGTTTTTTTTGATTTTCAGTTGCAGAATTTCTCGTTACAATTAAAACATGAAGAAATTATTATTGATGCATATGGATTTTCTATTGTTGATTGTGCATTTATTCGAAAGGTAAAATCTATGTTGAAAGATTTTTTTATTGAAGATGCTTCCTTTCATATTTAACATTGAAAGTATAATGGCAACAATTGCATTTTCCTAAATAGACTGGTGAAGTAATTGTTTTAAAAAAAATTGTCATTACCGGACCTGGCAGCAAGAAATTCTAGAACTATGTTGAATTCATGATTGTTTCTGTGTTTATAATTCGATTTCTTCACAGTTTATTTATATACTAACAACATTTTAACAATATATCCTAGTTGGATTCGAAATTATGCATTGTACACCGATTTTTTTTATTTCAGATGATGGGAACCTTAGCCAGTTATGGAGTATTTTTTATACAATTTCAGTATCAGTTGAGAAAAGTTTAAATTATGTAAGATTTTTTAATTGAAACTTTTTTTATTTTTTTTTATTTGAAAATACCTAATATTTTTTTTTATTTTTAGTTAAATGGCGTAATAATTTAAAAATTGGATTAAAATGATAAATATTAAAAATTTATTATTGGATTAAAAGTAAATTAATTTAAACCAACTTTGATTTGTGTTCATCAATCCATTCACTTATGTTCGAGATTGCACTCTTTCCAGCTTAAGACTTTGGATTTTAATAGATTCATTTGCTGACCATCATTCAACTTCACCTGCTGAAAAAAAATTAACGGTAAATTGTCAATTTTTTTAAGTCTCTTCAGTAATACTACAAGATATTGTATTAAGAATAACCGATTCCGTTCCTGAAAATTTAAATTTTATTGTGTAAATGACTAATTTATGTAATTGATGACATGTAAATATTGTCTATTGCCCCATAAAATTCTGTTATTTTTTTTAATTTAAAATAAGTATTAATTTTTAATATTAGTTAACATTTTGATTTGATTAATGTTGCAATACTTATAAAATATTATAATTTTATTAAAGAAAATTGTATTACTCGGTAATCGTCAATATACTCGGATGAATTCAAAGTTAATAATAATAAAAAATGGTTTTTATAATACGATTACATCTTTATATTTTCCAAATACTTGGATTTTGTCCGGTTGTATTTTCGCAAAAATATCAAAATGTTAAAACAAAGTTATTGATTTTTTGGTCAATTATTCAAATTAATTTTTTTCTTTTAAATAATTCCATAATATTTTTTAATCGTGAAAATATTTTAAATATTGAAAATATTTTCAGTAATTTTAATGATTTAATAAAATTTTTTTGGTTAACATTAGCCCATTATACGACTCTAATAGAATCATTAATAAAAAAAAGATTTATTTATGAATTTTGGAAAATTTATTTTTTATTACAAAATTTAAAATGTAAAAAACAAAATCAAAATCAAAAATTTAAAACTCAAATAATAAAATATCGTAAATTTTTTATTATATTTAATTTATATTGGATTTTTATAATAGTATATGAATATTTTTTAATATCAATAATCACAGATCGTAAATTAAAAAAATATTGGCACTCATTTACCCCACAACTTTTAATAATGCGTCTGAGGCATATGCAATTTTTTATGTATTTTGAAGTTATACGAATAGAATTATGTGATTTAAATTGTGATTTAAAAAAATTAATTAAAATTTCTTTAATTCAATATGAAATTACTAGAAAAAATTATAATTATAATAAAATTTTACTTAATGAAATAAAAGAATTACAATTACGTTATCATAAAATTTATGAAATGTCGAAAAATTTTATGACTGGACATGGATTATCTGTATTAACAAACATATTAAATAGTTGTACTATAATTATTTCGAATTTATATTGGAGTTATTGGATATTCATTCAATTTAAATTTGGAATTGGTAAATTAAAATTTATATAATATTTATTCCAGGTTTTTTCAATAAAAAATTATTTAAATCTTGTAAATTTTTTAAGGAAATTTCATTTTATTACCAGTTTCAATTACTTTAATGGTTGTTTTATTTGGTTCCTGCAATTGTATGGATGAAGTTAATTGAAATTAAATAATATATTTATAATTTCTATATTTATTTGATATCCTTATTTAATTTTTAGGCAATTCAAGTTCAAAAAAATGTACATAAAATCATTGTAAAAGGAGACAGTCTGAGAGTTTTAATGCAGGTAACAATAGATTTTGTTTTACATTTATAAAGGAAGTATAAACAAGTAATAATTTAATGTTGTACCTATGAGTAATATCCTTTGGTAGATTGTAGATCGCTGAAGACAGGTATGGACAAAAAATTCCTTAACTCCGACCACCGCAGCCAGCCATGGCTTATTGTAGCCCTCATATATCCCACTTAAACTGCCCCGGTTTCAAGTAGGTAAATACCATGAGATATCACTCAGGGAATTGCTTAGCCGCTTCTTCACAGTCCCGTCAGAATCTGCACAGAAGGAAGCCTCAGTATTTGAGCAGTGTGTGCAAGCAAAGAAGCCAATATACCACGTACTCGATTTCGATTAATTCCAAACAGCTGTGAGGAGAATTTCATTGAGCAAAATGGAAGGAACAGCAAAGATTTGATTCATCCTCAAGCAGAACGATACGTCTAATACCGTCAATCATATGAGCATTACTCTGTTTGTAGATGCTATCTCCACCAGTGAGCACATAACTCCAAATCAGCTTAGATGTGATTTGAGCAGATTGTATTAGAAAATAATATTTATATCATAATTTATTATAAATAATGTGCATGTATGTGCTGAATTCATATTTAAAATATAGTTTAAACACAAAATTTTTCAAATATCCCTGAACATGTTCACGGAATTTGTAGCAAATACTACAGTAGCTACATATGTGAGCGCTTTTATTCTAAATGACAGTGTAATACAATTTGAATTCACAATACTTCTTATGTTGCACGCAAAAATTCAATAATTTTTATATATAGAATTAATATTGACTCCATAATTATGATAAGTAGAACAGAATAATGTAATTAATTTTTTTTTTTTATAAGAAAACTTGAATTTCATTTTATTACGATGAATATTAAGACTCGAATAAATGTAAAAAAAAAATACTCGTATGATCGCATTGCTTCAACTATAAAATTATAAAGTAGAAAATGGTTCTTATTATTCGATTACATCTTTATATATTCCAAATACTTGGATTTTGTCCGGTTGCATTTTCGCAAAAATATCAAAATGTTAAAACGAAATTATTGATTTTATGGTCAATTTTTCTAGTTAACATATTTTGTTTAAATAATGGTAGAATTTTTCTTAATCGTGATAATATTTTAAATATTGAAACACTCTTTGGTAATTTTAATGACATTAGTAAATTTTTTTGGCTAACATTAGCCCATTATACGTCATTAATTGAATCATTATTAAGGAAAAATTTCATTTATGAATTTTGGAAAATGTTTTTTCTATTACAAAATATAAAATTACAAAATAAAAATGAACTTAAATTTAAAAATCAAATAATAAAATATCGTAATTTTCTTATAATTTTTCATTTATATTGTTTTTTTCTATTTGTATATGAATACCTTTATTTTTCTACTGTTCATGATCCACAATGGAGAGAATTTTGGTATTCATTTACGGCATCTCTTTTAATAATGCGCCTGAGGCATATGCAATTTTTTATGTATTTTGAAGTAATACGAATAGAATTATGTGATTTAAATTGTGATTTAAAAAAATTAATTAAAATTTCTTTAATTCAATATGAAATTACTGGAAAAAATTATAATTATAATAAAATTTTACTTAATGAAATAAAAGAATTACAATTACGTTATCATGATATCTATGAAATGTCAAGAAATTTTTTGATTGGACATGGAATGTCATTATTAACGAATACAATAAAATGTTGTGTAATAATTTATGCAAATTTTTATTGGAGTTATTGGGTGTTTTTAAAACTTAAATTTGGGATTGGTAACAGTTTTATTAAAATGTTTTTGGAATTTTATTCAATATTTATCATATTAAAACTTTCAGAGTATTTTATTTTGCTACCAGTTTATATTAATTTTGTGATCATTTTATTTGCTTCCTGGAATTGTATGGATGAAGTTAAATTGAAATAAACATTTCATATATTTTTTTCATATTTAGTTATTTCTTTAATCATTTTAGGCAAATGAAATTCAAAAAATATTACATAAAATTAACAGGGAAGTAGATAGTTTGAGAACTTCTATTCAGGTAAAGATTACTTTTTCTTGCATCATTTTACATTGCCATTTTGTATGCATATAGAATCTCTTCTATCGCAGTTTTAGCTCTACTGATTATTCATAACAAATATTTAAAGAAATTGAGCCATAAAATTATCTACAATATATAATTTTTATAAAGTGAAATTTAAATTAAAATATTATTTCTCTTTGCTCACTTAAATGCTCTCTCTATGACAGAAAAATCGTCAATATATGAATTTGAATTTTGTATGGTATGGTAATATGTTCTTTACTTTTTTTTCTAGTTACAGAATTTTTCTCTACAATTAAAACATGAGCAAATTATATTCGATGCATGTGGATTTCCTGTTGTTGATTGTGCCTTCATTCGATCGGTAAATGTTTTTTTTTTTTTATGAAATTTATCAGTCATTTTATAATACAAAAATATTACAGTTATACAGAATTATTTACATATTTCAGATGATGGGAATGTTAGCCAATTATGCAGTATTTTTTATACAATTTCAGAATCAATTGAGAGAAGTATAAAATGTAAAATAATATTTACGTAAGAGTAAAATTAAAAATTCATATAAATGTTATATTAATTTTTTAAATTAATATTGTAGAAATTTAAATAAATTAATTATAATTAAAATAAAAATGTTTGACAAGTTGTTCAAAATGTTTTACTCTGATGTATATCCCTGTATGTGGCTGATTGTGTATGAGAGAAGAGAAATGTTGTTTGATATTCTTCGAAGAGAGACAAGAGAGAAGAGAAATTCTCCATTCTTAGTTATAATTGTAAAAAGCAGCGGCATCTATAATGTGATTTTGAGTTTGACCCTTCCGTTTTGTCTTCTCGCACGCTTGTTTTCGCTTTCTCTCAATTCATATAGCTGCGTTCTATTGTCTTGATTAAAATCCTTCTAAAGCCGATGAATAGCATTTATTGTGTTGGTTTGTATACTCTATTGAAATTCTCGTGTTATTGCAATAAATGCCATAATTGTACAATTATTTAAAATCAAAGTACAAATAATTTATCCTTTTATGTACATATATATTAATTTTAAATAATTTTTAAAATCATATAAATTAAACATTGCTTTAAATCATTAAACACCAATTGCAATCACAGATAATTCCAATCAACATTGAATTCAAATAATTTTAATTAAAATGTAATCACGGTAAGTGACTTGTGGAAGGTACTATTTACTATTTTTGTGGCATGCGAACTATAACTGTAGTTGAATAATATTCATTTCATGTCTTTCATTGAATGACATTCAATACAATAGCGTTATTGAAATGAGTATTTGTGCAATTTATTATTAGAATGCTTGAAGTTTAATCAAAAAAATAAAACCAACAAAACTTATAAATGTTATTTTTAATTCGATTACATCTCTTTATTTTTCAAATACTTGGATTTTGTCCAGTTGTATTTTCACAGAAACACTCATACATTGAAGAAAAATTTTTAA